TGACATGTGGGGTTGTTAACCAATGTCATAAAACAATATGTGTACTACTGTTTCATGAGAAACTATTTGTTCTGTAAGCCTTCACCTGAAGTACAATTAAAAAAATAAACAGAAAAAAAAAAATACACAAATTATATTGACAAATCTTATATAACAAATCTTTATTTCAACTTTATTTTCGTATGTCTTCTAGATGCTGAGTATATAAATTCACCCTTGGCACCTACATTCTGCACCCCTGGTTTGAAACTTCCTTCTACAAAGAACAGTACAGCTTTGGTAAGTTTCCATAAAACTGAAAACTCTAATCCTTCAGAAACACTACTACTTCCAGACTCTGAAACAAGTCTGTTCAGAAAAACTTAAACTAGTACAGCTTATAAGAATGTATTTACCATACATTTCTGGAGAGTAATTTAGCAGAATATAGCAATGGCTTTAAAACTTTTTTTATACCTTTTAACCATGTCTTGAAGGATCCCTGGTGGTGCAATGGTTAGAAACTCGTCTGCTAACTGAAAGGTCAGTGGTTTGAACCCAGCAGCTGCTCCATGGGAGAAAAGACCTGGCAATCTGCTCCATAGAGATTACAGCCTAGGAAACCCTGTGGAGCAGTTCTGCTCTGTCCTGTAGGGTTGCTATGAGTCATGATCTACTAGATGGCACACACAACAACCATGTCTCAGAAATTCTAAGGTAAATTGGGACAAAGATTTATGTACAATGAAGTTTTTTTAATAGCATTATTTAATAAGAGCAAAACATTGAAATTAATTTGAAAGTCAAGTGATAGGAGTAGTGAAATACATTAAGGTATATTCGTAAGATCTAGCGTGTTATATAACTATCATTTGTTCTGAAAATATATAAAAAGAATGCTTCCAAAAAACATTTAATAATATAGAAAAATGCTCATACGTTTTGTTTTTCAAAAAGAGTATATAAAACTTTTTTTTTTAAATTTTTTCTTTATTTTTTTTTTTATCGTACTTCAGGTGAAGGCTTACAGAACAAATAGTTTCTCATGAAACGGAAGTACACATGTTATTTTATGACATTGGTTAACAACCCCACAACATATCAACCCTCTAACTTCTCAACCTCTTTTTTTTTTTGGTGAAAATACACATAGCCAAAGATACACCAT